AGAAGAGTGAGCCAATAGAGCAGATACCTCACCCACAGAGGAAAAAAAGGCAGTTCAGGACAGGAGAAATGCGCACGCAGCAGGAACATTCAGCCACTCCAAAAACAGCCCCTCCCTGCCAGCTCGTTCCCTTTTTCCTGTTCAACTGGGCAAGCCTCAACACATTGAGGTGACTCACCACACGGGGGCTGGATTCAGGTCATATACTCACAGGTTAATAAAGCTGGCCACCAGTACAGAAACTGTGAGGACTTTCACTCTAGTAGTCATCAGATACAGAGTTCTCACCCCAAAAAGTTCTGTTAACTTCCAGATATTATAAGCAACACTTCCTTTCAGTCTGTTACACCTTAAAGTCACTGTATCTGAACAAAAAATCTACTCAAATCATCTAGGTACAATTGATATATCCAGTCAAGCAGAAATACTAAACAATGGAAACCACAACTGGAGAGCTTCTTTTTAGATATCACTATCTCCAACTCCTACACCCCACCCCAATACACACACACATTCCTAAACAGAAGGAAACAAAAATATAGAAAATCAGATGCTTGACAGAGCCCTGCAGGGGAATGTGCTGGCGTTCGTACCTGCTGCTATACCTTCCTTATTGTTACATGCTAAGAACGACACATATATTTCAGACAGTTCATTAAAAACTAAATCTACAAAAAGAACATACAGTAAGGATAGGTATTCCTTCTCTTAACTTATTTTGTAAAGCAAGTCCAGGATACATGATAATAATAGAATAAAAAACATCGTAGGCTAACAATATGAAGAAAGACTGAGAGACCTCATTCAACAGGACTACCCTGGGAACTGCAAGTTTTCTCAGGCCCTACCATCTGCGTCTCTGTGCTCTTTAAGAACTGCCATGACAGAGGAGCTTTAACCAATACCTACCCAGCCAGGTTGGCTCCAGCCAAACATTGAGGAGGAACCACAACATCAGAATAGGATGTTAACGTGGAAACACTTTTTGCTAGGGACAAAGTCTCTCAAAATTAGAAAATGGTCCCAACTAAATATTACTTCATTCAACTACAAAAATAAAACTATTTGAAAACAGTTACTATGATAGGACAGAAGAGCTTATCCACCAATCTTAAAATATGGAATTAAGCTCTCATCCCAAAGTAAATCACAGAAATAGTTTAGAGTAGAATAATAACTTACAAGACTTACTTTAGGGAAAGGGACAATAGCAGATTACACACACCCCTCCCTCACATATAATCCCTCTTACCTGATGTACAAATACATCTTCTTTGGTGTCATTTCTGTTGAAAGACAAAAAGCTCATAATTAAAGGTACTAGGTATATGGAAAAGCTTAAAAGAACAGATGTATTATAAATTTAGATCCCAAGACCTCAGAATACCATATAAATTTTCATTTATCCTCTAAACTGAATTCGGACACCTAGAATCAATCTTGTTAAAACTTCTAACTCCACACGCTATCCCCCCCTTACCACCCCACACCACCACAGTGCGTAGATCCAAGTGTACAGATTCAACATACAGAAACATCCCTTTCCTGTCGCTTTCTGAATCACGTGGTATGTAATCAGAGCTCTAGATTTTCCTCCCAGCAAAAGCAAAGCAAGACAGTTAAAAGGACAGGGCACAGCTGTGAACTAGGCTCTCCTTACACTGAAACTTAAAACAGCCCCCTGCCCCCACCCCACCAAAACAGACAAGAAAAGAAATTGGAGAAATTTTTTTAAGAAGGGGTAGGAAAGCAAAGCAAATGACTATATCATGTAAAACCGTCATGATAACCTCAACAGCCTGGCAGTTGTGTTCTCCTTTCTGTATGGTAAGAAGTTATCATAGTTTAAAGGAAACACTACAGTTTCTACAGAGGACTTGGACCAGACCGGAGTTACAGATCCAGCTCAATTACTCCCAAGTTGGGTGACCTTAGGAAAGTTGCTTAACCAGTCTAAGACTCCATTTCTCCATCTGTGAAATTATGGATATGGGTTCATTTAACCTAAGGCCCTTCCCATGTCTGATTTTATCTCGCCCTTCCTTTTTTTCTTTTAACGACTAGACTTTATGAAATAAGTTATTTATTAGTGTCCTGGAAATGTATTTTAATTACTATTTAACAACCAGCAGCTTAGAAATGAGAATATTTACAGTACTTAGAAACTTAAAAAAT